TACAATTTCATCAACAATTTATGTTTCTAGGTGTAAAATCACAAATTTTGATTAGGTTCTTAGGGTAAACAGGAAGCATATACTAACACTAAATTACATCTAAAAGTATCAGATTATCAGAATCCTTTGGTATACAAAATTACATTGGAAATCTGCTTTTAAAAAGTTCTTAAAGAAAGAAAGAGCACTTCTTTCTTCCATCTTCTCAGTTTAGCATTGCTTCCATCAATTCCTTGGGCAAACACAGAAACTTCCACAAAGTTTGCTGGAATCCCATGATGTCAAAATCAGAATTTACTCCAAACCTATACGGAGCTGTAAAGACAAATCTCTTGACTGTTTTCTGAGATTCTTTTCTATTTTTAATCCCTATGCTGGGACATACACAATTGTGAAGATATTAATCACAGTTTACTCTGCAGAGAAAAAGTCAATAGGATGTTTAACTCCTGATTTATACACAAGCTTTAAGTATTTCACCTGTGCAATTCTGCACAGTCAGTAGCTTATTTCTTCTAATTAAATCTTTATTTCAGCTCTCAGTGGGCCTGATTTTCCTCTTACTAGCAGCAAGTTTATTAATATAACTCTCATCAATCAAATGGTAGTAGTGTCTAAATAAGATTAACATAAGAAAAAGAAAAATCAAGGCCATTGACTTTGTACAATAGCTTTGCCAGTCTGTTCACAGCTAAGCAGTGCTTACTGAACACTGAACAGAATGCTGGGCAAGGAAAGGATGTGATTTTTTATTGTTTAGAGACCTGTTTTGAAGGAACAACTGGCAAGATCATGAAAAAAGGAAAAAATCCACTCAGTAAGCAAAATCAGACAGTAGGTATAACCACAAGGACTAATCATCTTTTTCCCTTTCATATGTACTACAAACTGAAAGCTAAACTGCATATCAAGCTAAAATATTCTGTTACACTCAAAACTGTGTTATGGGCAAAAGAGTTTACACTTTATTGAAAGAGTAAAAAATGTATTGCTGGTTTTTATCAGCTTTTTATTGCCTTTACCATTCACCAAGCTGAAGCTCAGGACAAATCAGAGACTAGTTATTTGGCCACTGTTAACAAGCTACTGCCAGGTCAAGTAAAATTTTTGTTACGTCACCGTGAAGCCTGTTGCCTTTTACTAGTAACACAAAAATCATACATAGTGGACCTGAATATATATATAATCATCCCTTATTTTTTTTCAGCATATATGAAGTAAATATGGAATTTTTCATAATATGCATTTAAACACATTAATCAGCTGTATAGAGATGAGGCAGGGGTTTCAAAGTGACTGAAGTCATGAAAGGAACAGCAAGAGCTGCTATCTAACATCATTAAAGAAGAAAATAAAATCTACTTTGCAAAAGAAGTGATCTACAGAAAGTTATCTAGGAGTTGCTAATGGGAATATCAACTATCAGTGATTTCTGAAAAGTAACAACAGAATAAAAGAGGGAATCAAAGCATGGCAGACAGTAGAAATATCTCACACTTAGGCTGAAGATAATTTTGAACTTCAAGCAATGAGTGAAGAAGTTTCATATATATATATAAAAAAACCCTTTTAATGATAATTACAAAAAATATATTTTAAATATTCCAAGAACAAAGTACTCAGATGATTTATCACTCCAGTAAAGATCAATAATGATTAAGAAACTGAGAGAAGTTAATGAAGAATTGAATATAGTGAAATCTACAGTGGACAGGACATGTAGTTAAACAAATGAAGGGACAGTTAAGTACCTTTCAGAAAACCAAAGGATAACAGGATAACATTAAACAAGACCCATAAACTCTTGCTGTGATCTGCTAACAGTAACCTGTAAACACAGGAACACAGGTCAATGTACTACATGGGAACAGAAATAAATCTCCTTTAACTTGTCCTTCTAGGCATTTTTTTTTAATTTTTATTTCCTGTTTATCTGAACTCATGCTATGTTAGAGCTCCCTGAGTCACTGGGTTCGGTTTTAAGGTGTTTAAAGAATATTATGACACTGAAAGTCAGATGAACTAGACTTCTGTTCCATACTAGTAGCTTTAGTGCAGAGATGAGCAGGACCAAACTCTGCCACCTGCACATCAGCATACAGTTCTCTCATGTAATTCCTTGCCAGTTATTTCAGCTACTATTTCTACAGACAGAGTTAGACTATGCCCCAAAATGAACGGCAAACATACCCGTGTGAACATGGAAAGCTGACATTAAAAGCTGCTACTGAAAGTAAGTTAGTAAATTATGAGAGGTGTATAGAATAAGGACTAAGTCGCTAGCTTCCTCCAGGGAAAATATGCTGTTATGGGTGGCAGGCATAAACTATGCCTGCATAAGCATATTTGCATAAGCAATGCTATGAAATACAAAAGACATCTGCATCTAGGCTGCAGCTTTAGTTAGCCTAATTCTTTGTGATAACCAGGGTATGTACCTCCCAGTAAACAGAAGTCTTGTTATTCGTTCCATACACACGCAGTTACACAGAAGGCTGCACACCTGACCTACAGAAAATTCTGCTTTGCCAGATGGTAAAAATAATCAGTGAAAAAGTGTGTATCTTTTATCTAGAGGACCACAACAGTCGGAAATCCCTGTGCCGAAGGCAGACCACTTTGACTTCTACATAAGCCCAGAAGGTTTATATGCTGACATCTATTAATTCCCTGCACAAGAAGGGAACAAGAACATCGCTGTGATATTTGCTGCACAACAGCAGCATTCCTTCTGCAGCCTTCCTTGGCAGATGTCGTGTTTTGCTTTCTTACGTTCACACACACTATTCATTCCACAGGCAATGACATGCCTGTTGCAACAAAAGCAGCAAGAAGATTAAAATAAATCAAAATTTTCCCAAGACAGCTATGCAAATATAAAAAATCTATACAATGAAAATTAAACAATAAACAGTTTTTTTTTATTATAGTACAAATTGAAATAACAAAGGAAACTACTAACTCTTTAAGATACTCAAATTGCAGTATGTAGATGTTGGATTGTATGGAGATTAAGAACAGCTGTGAAAAATGGCTGTATGTGGTTCTTGGGCTATTATGTAAACAGGCTATACAGATTGAAAAGATTTACTCTGAAGAATATTCAATTCAGAATATTTCAGAAGAAAGTCAAAATATGAATAATTTGGTTTTCCATCTCAGCAGCTGGGGAATTTTTGTTGTTGTGGGTGAATGTCTGGAAAAAGCAGAAAAGCAAACTAGAAATTTTCACGTGTTTACTTATCAGAGCACAAATGTAACGAACATGGTTTCTTATCAACATATAGACCTGGAAAAATTAGTGGAAAATTTTTATTTATCATACTATTTGGCTAGTCAGCACAAAAATCTTTGCTGAATCAAAAAGGCGCAAGGAAGCTCATGAAGAAGCACCATGTTTAGCCACATCTGTCTGTAAACTGAGATTTGTAGTAGGCAGAGTTAAGGGAGAAAGGATAATGGTGATAATTCCAAGTTTCCTAGTTATGATGCACTAGCACCTTAACAAAACCTTCTTGTTCAAGACCCTACTCTATTATCAAAACATTACTTCATTCTTTAATCAGTGTATTTATATAACAAAGGAAATGAAATACTAACTTCTAACCTATGGTACTGATTTTTTGTGCAAAAACAAATTATAATGATGGAAAAAGATATGATGTGTTTTCATAAACATATTTTCATCTTACAAAACATAAATTCTTATTTTTAGCTGTTATTATTCATATTTTATTCACTTCTATCTTCAAAATAATTTCGTTACATGTTCAATTCTATTTTGTTAATGGAGTGAAAATACATAGCTTACAAAAATGTCCACTTACCAGATGAAATTTAACTTTTCTAATTGGTGTAAGTTTTCTCATTTAAAGAAGCATTTTTTTCCTTTTCTTACATTTCAGGTCTCTGTTTATATAGCTATGTAAATATATTTTCAAATAGAAATCAAACAGAAGAGTAGACATAAAAAAACACTGTAACTCATACAGAGCTATACCAGTATATCAATCCTGCTGATGAAGACCAAAGACTCCACCATGGCATTAAGAAAAAGTAGTTACCACAGATGATTTCAGGCCAAAAGGTATCCCTTTTTTCACTAAGAAACTAGGCTGTCATATATGTTACTTCAGCTAATCACCATTTTTTGGTTTGGTTTGGTTTTTTGTTTTTTACATGGAGCTTGGTCCATTTTCATGCAAACCTGTATTTTCCAATCCATGCCTAAGTCATGACCTTGCTGAGAAAATGCAATTGACACGATGTAGCAAATAATGTACTTGATACAGCTGATCTAGAAGCTGATCTAGAAGCCCATAAAGAAGCTAGACTGAAAATATAATTTATCAAAATGGAACTATCAAGTGATTTTAAAAGGCAGCTCAACTGATACCAAGAGACACTCTTAAAAAAATAAAACCTAACCCAGTACCTTTTACCTACTATTTTCCAAAAAATCCTCAGTTAGGTACTGAAACCTCTGGTCCTTCTCCAGGAGTTGACTCCACAGCACACTCATAGAATGCCACAGTATTTTTCACGCCAACCTCGTGGTTAAATTATTTATTTACTTATTTTCTATTTATTTATTTTTAATGAGAGCTTCCTAGTTATTACGAAGTAATAGGAGCAGCCTAATTATTAGGCTGCTTTCAGCAAGAGAGTACCCTCCCCTTTTGAAACCAGACATTTTTGCAAAATAACCTCCAAAACAGATGAAAGAAAGACCAAAAGAAACAATGCTGTCTCCTACGTAAGGAGTAGTATTTTTTCAGTGTTTCATGACAGAATATTTGTGTCTTATTTTTCAATCCAACAACAGTTTCAATATTATTCTACCTCTTACTCAGTGAAACATACAGTAAAGGATTGAATATAGTTGCAATTTAAATTTTTAAGTTTGTAAACCAATTGTTCTCATTTTTAGGCCCATGATGATTTTAAACACCACAAAAATTTGACGCCAATTAGAAACCAAACAAACCAAAACCACTTACCTGATGAAATGTCTATTCGGTTCTTTTTCACTTGGGTGACATTGATATGGACGCTGACTTTGCCCTCGTTTATGTCAATCTCAACATTCCCCAGGTCATCTGCAAAGTTGCTGAAGATAAGAAGTCCACTGGGGTTCCAGGTTCGGAAAAGGAAACTGACTGAAAATAGATCCTGGCTTGGACGACCAGGAACCTCAAGGTAACTGGTGGCATTGAAAAAGACAGGCACTGTATGTGGCTCCACACAAGAAAAACTTAAATTTCCCTAAATAAAACACAAAACAAGAAGCAAAAACATAAGCAAAGTGGTAAGATTCCACTAAATTCATAGCTACCTCTAGAAATGTGTTCTAGGTTTCACTCAATCTAACGACTACTGTGATCAACCCAAATCGCATGTAAAAAATATGCAACTATTAGTATCACTATGATGTTGTTGCAGATGCTTCTGATTTTGTCTAGCAGTGGGCCCCTTATATTTTGGACTTTACACACACAGTAGGAGCAAGTCTTTGCCCTGAAGATTTATAGTCTCAGATAAAGCTTAGATGAAAATCTTAATATTCTGAGTTCAAAGATAAAGAAATTAATTGCAGTGAAACTTGGGCTTGTTCACAGTCACCAAAAAAAGCCTATAACAGAGCAGTAATCCATCCTTTTACAAAAATGGAATACAGCTTTCCAAATACCTTTATATGAATGTGTCAATCAATACAATATATGAGGTTATAAAAGAAGGATGTATACCTCTTGGAGAGCTAGACTCTCTTACTTTTTTTTTACTGGATAATACTAGAAAAGATAATACTGTGTTTCATGACATAGAAGGATTTGGAGTAGCTGATCATGAACAATGCCTAATATTTATATTTAGTCAATCATTTTCCTTGTAAAAGAAACTGCAATTTTCACACTATAAAACTTTACTCTTTGGGAAATTGACAAAAATCCAGTCAATTTTATTGATTTCTAAAGCTTTAAAATGTATCTGTAAACAAGGATAGAATGAAGGACATAAATTTTTCACTCGTTCTCATGTCTTTTCTAATGAAAGACTACAATGGTAAGATGTGTTACTATTTTTTTCCTTAGAAATTGCAAATAATTTGTAGCAATTTCTGTCCAAAATTGACGTTTTAATGCATCAATGCAAATATAACAGGAAAACTTCCTTTACTGAACAGTTTCTCTGTGTGGCAAAGTGGATCCTATTCTATGGTTAGGTTTTCTGACACCCTGTGGCAGATGGTTGCTCTGTGGCAATTTTGGTTCAATTTGGGAAGGAAGAATTTTATCTGATGCAATATGGAAATTATTACTATGATCAAGACAGCAGTTCATGTCCTATTTATTTGTACATTTTAAAAAAAAAAAAAAAATCAGAGATCGAACAACATTTTTGTGGATACCTAGATGCTTAGAAATTAGGTTCATCAAAGCACTGGTCAGTATTCCAATAGGTTGTCAGTCATCATCTTTATCATATAAATATTTTTAAATTCCATGTTACTGACTTCCTGTTATTGCTGTTAAATCACATGGCTTTGTATTCATAATGTATAAATCTATCTGGCAGTTTATCTTGAGGGAAGTTAACAAATTTGGAAGCAAGTGAGGAACTCTGTGTTTAAAAAGGTGTGTGAGGAAAGTCCTAAGTAAATTTTTCTTAGAGGTAATAATTTTAAATTGGAGATGAGCCGGATGATGTTAATCAGGGATCAAGATTTAATACTCATTTACCAGTGTCCAAAACTATCTCTTTTTGAAGGAACTACACATCAGAAAACATTTTATCTGTGTCATGGCAAGATAACATATACATAGTACTTTCAGTTCCTTATACAGTATTTCCATGTCAAAAGTAAATTAATAAAAATAATAAAAAGTTTCCACCTCTTTTCCCTACAGAGTATCAGAAGTTATATTAATGCACTTAGACTTTATAAAACTACTTAAAAAAGCCAGTAGGACTAGTAGCAACTAGACTATCAGGTTGTCAGGCTCTATTATCAATTAAGAAGCACTGATATTTCCAAAAATCTGGAACAAAAGAAGAGATTTCTTTAAGCTGATCTAAAAGATCTGTTCGTACGTTTATGAAAAAATCTCACAATTGCAAACCGTTGTATTCATACACCCATATTCCATGGATAACAAACAATATCCAAGTATTTAGGAAAATAATTAGCTAAATCTGTAAGAAACTTTTAAGTTACAGTGTGAATGAGAGAAATTAACAACTACTTTTTGAATAATGGCAAAGGATCTCCTTTGTTGCTGTGTTGCTCGGTTCCTCTGAGGTTTTTTTAGTCCAAATATTGCTTAGAGTTTTAAAGTTTTTAGCAAATCAAGCACTGGATCAGAATAGTTAACTCTTGTCATAGTTTTAGTCTGAACATTTCCAAGTGTGCTGCAGAATACTTGTGGTTAAACCACAAATTTTACATGCACAAAAAAAAAAAAATCCTGGAGAATGGCTGAAATACCCTTTGTAACCCTTTGTTAATATTCCTAGTGTTATAGTCACCCTATGGATTAGAAATAATTTCTCGTGCATGGTTAAGGCAGTCCTGTGTAGATATAGAGAGCAACAGCATTTTGTAAAAGCTGACATCTCACGGTTCAGTCACAGATGCCAATTAAGTAGTGCTCAGAAAGCATTTTGTTAGACATTATTAAGAGTTTCTCTTGCTGCCTTGTTACTGTGAGGAACTAATCATTTTCTCATAACAAGAACGTTTTCATTCCAATTGACACTCTCCTGTCATCCTGATGCTTTGGATATGTGCACTCATAACACCTATTAATGTTAATGGCACTGAAAGCATTCAAATCCTTTTTCACATCAATGAATGCATTTATCATGAGCAGCCTAACTGCATAAAAGATTTCTTGGGGAAGTAACATATAATTCTACTTTCTCTGCTAGTTAGCATTTTCCCTACTGAGCTATTCAGATTAATCTGAACTGGATTATCTGTTCCCTCTATGACTGTAATTCACAAGAAAACTCCCTTTTTAAGCAAAGCCCATCTGATACAAATTGATCACTAGGTCTAGGTCAGGAGCTACACTGTAGCTTGTCTCTATAATAGCATCCTCGTTTTTCAAAGAGAAAGAAATCCTTGTCTCTAGATTCAAAATGACTTGCTGAAAAGTTCTCTGGGCAGTGACATTTGGAAGTCAAACATACACTCTGCTTTCATATTGAAACTCTTGGTCTTAGTGCATTTTTCATACTACATTGGAAGGGAAATGATGAAAAATCTTATTTGGGATAGCTTGAGCTTTGTATCATGATCTGTGCCTCAAATTAGCTTCATGTTTACTTCTTATAAGTCAGTTTTGCCTATCCACATTCAGATGTTATCCCCTGCGGAAATCCTACAGGGTCTTAAGACCTTTCCCAATTAATAGAGCTACTAGCTGAATAGGCTAGTAATAAGCTCCCAAAAAAGAGGTAACGAGATTTTTAAGACTACAATACCTATTAAATCAGGATGGGCTATAGAGTACCTGTTATGTACTGTATGCTAATATCTATCATGTTATAACAGTATTTTGCTAAAAATAGCTTATTAGTCAGCCTTGAATGAACACAGAATTCACTTAATACAAATAATTTAAAGAAAACACTCATCTTAAGTTTGCATGTAACTGCACTCAGTAATATATGGCATAGGAGCTGCAAACGTAGAGGGAGCGTAGACCTAGCGGATGCAAGGCTGGAGGGCAGCAAATACAATTCTCCTCAGCATTTTTCAGTTACAGGCTTTAAAATTGTGGAGGCTTTTCTGTGGAAAATAGATCCCATTAGTATATGTACTTCCTGCCCTTAGTATGCCTCTGGGTAGGAAAGTTTGGTAAAGAGACTAAATTCCTAAACTCAGATTTCTCTGGAACTCTTGCTAGCTGTATGTTCCAATCTGTTGTCACTAGGGAGATGTGTACTGCCTCTGCAGATAATGCACTCTTTAGGGCAGAGTGTGACTACTCTTGTGGGTTTGTACAGGATCTCCTGCAATGGAGCTTTGAGCCTTGTTGGATTGCTTAAAGGCCATCATCATAAACATGACTAACAATAACAGAAGTCTCAACTGAGTCTGCTTTTCATGTCAAATCAGGCTAAAAAATATGAGGGAAAAAACCCTTTTGTAAGAAACTTTAAATCCATGTTAATTTAGTTAGAGTAAAACGGATTTTGCTTTTGAAGAGCTGAAGCAATTTAAGTAATGCTACTGGAAACAAAGGTAATTTCTATTTTCATAACCATTTGCAGAATTGGAAATCAACAGAACCACCAAATTAAACCAGCATGCCATAGCCTCTTGATGCAGCTCTAACACTGCCAAAGCTTCTTATGTGGATTTTCATGTTACAGGTAACAACTTTTTTTTCTAAAACAAATAAAGAAATTAACACATAAAATAACATGATTTTATGGACACTTTAGAGGCCTGTTAGCTATACCACACTTTTGAAAGGATAGAATTTGCACTACAGAAGCCTCTTAAGGACTACTTCTATTCAGAGAGAGGCTTTAAGAACATGTCCTTCTAACTTGCAGTGGACTTGACTGTGCAAAATGGAAAGATTGCTCCTCTACAAAAATCCTTTTCTATATCAGGCATCAACCTTTGAAAATCATGGTTACATTATAAGCTTAAAATGCACTGCAGGCAGGAAATCACAGGCAATTTTGGGAAAAAAAAATAAATCAAAGATTCATGAGTTCGTGCAACTGAGTCAAAAGAATTGTAAAAGAAGCCGTCTTCCTCCATGGCATACATACTATGCTCTTTGCCTTATGACATTCCTGAAGAAATTAACGTCTAGAAAAGGTTCTAAACATCAGGCTGTATTACTGAGTTTGTATAGGTAAATATCACATATTCAGAATGATCCTGCCTGTTAGCTTGACCATTTAGCCATATCATTCATACAATTATATGGAACTTCAGTATTATTATCATCCAAGGAGTAAACAAATAGTAATCAGTCCTTTGCAATTCATTATTGCTGCAGGTTTTCTCCTTATTATGTAAAGAGAATAGCAATAGTGGAACCATACATACTGTTAGTAGGACTTTGTGAAGGCTGCAAACTTGTACAGAAGAAAGCCTTGAACAACTTATTCAGACCAACTCAGCTCATGTCAATGATACATTTGTTTCTTACCCACATTGCCTTTGTATGGCAGCAAGCAATTTTAGGAACATTTTGAATCTTAAAAATACAGTAATTAAAGTACATTCTTTCTTAATCACCCTGCCTATAGAGCTGCAAGTTCGAACATGAAAGCAACTATGAATATTTAAGCAAGAGAAAAAATAGAACAAAATGCTAATAAGCTCTGTAATGTTAATAAGCTAAATAATGATTTTCAAGCCTAATATCTTGAGGCTTTTCAGAACTACCAGAAAAGTCTGCAGAAGCATTCCCTTCCAATGACTTTTGCACTCGAGCAATCCAACTAGCTCTGCAGGGATGGAAGATACCAGGATTTAAAGCCACAAGAAAGCTGCAATTGATTTCATAATAAATCTTGCCTATGCTGGTTTTGGACTACTGTAATTTGCCAGAAAATAAGTACTTACTAGTTCATTTGATTTTCTTTTAAAAAAATAGTTATCTGATACTGATGGTTCATTTTTGAAAGATGAAACAGGACATCAGAACTGAAATGCTGGGACATAAAAATAATAAAAAGTCACTATTGTCCATACAATAAGATCTTTGGGTATATGATAAAATTTGTTTTGTGTTCTATATCACAAGGACATCGATTATACACATTCACAAACCTTTTAGTCTCCTTTAGAAGGAGAAGCAGACGGTTAGATGATCATTAAATTATGCTCTTACCACACTAGAAGGTTCCAATTTCTTCCTCCTGGCAAGGTCAGTTATATTATTGCCATTGTAGTTGATGCTCTCCATGCAACCTTTGAAATTCTTCCTGCTGTTAGAACTTGGCTTCCCAGAAAAAGGCATGCCACCAAAGGTAATCTTTGAATGAAGCAGAAAACAGTAGATAGTTACTGGAGGGCAAAGACTTCTAAACAAATTTAGCGTACGTGTATTTGCTTACTTTTTTGAATACTCAAACATGCTGAGTAAGAGAGATGGCAATAGTGCTCACAGAAAAAGGAAGTATCAAACAAGCACTGCTAAAGCAGAGGAAAAGGCTTTAGTGAATCTGTGATTGGAAATATTTGTGGTGGTAAATCCCAAGTATTATTACAATTGTCCAAAGCATGAGCAGATACACATCACAGTTGTTCACATACAGACTGCCATTCTGATCCCTACTGAACAACACATATAACAAAGAAAGAACTTGGAGTAAGTGTCCATCTCAGTATTCTTCTAAACAAGAGCAGACATGACATTAGTGGGTTAATTTGATTCAAATCATTCACTCAGCTGTAACTGTGTGCCAGAGCTCAGACTACAACACAGTTGTGATGGGCTTCAATATGATCCATTTGTTCCCTTTAAACGCTTATATATATACTTCATCCAGAAAAAATTTGCAGAATCACATCATTAAAGATGCTAGCTCCTGTTAGACAGAAGGGCCTTCCAGTACTGAGAACATGTTTATGTAATGTACTTATAGTCAATGAGGATTTACTACCTGACTTATCAGGCCAAATGAGCTCCGTAGAGATGATGAAGGCAACCACTGCAAAGCCTCAGACATCAAAGTCAAACAGAAACTGTTTTTGTCTTAATGCTGAATTTCACTACCCTAAAACACTGGCTTATCCAGAATCTCTAGTGTTAAAAAATGAAGAAAAACAAATATTTAACAAACTAAAAATGTTCACCTCTCATGAAATCTCTTCCTGTCATTCCACAGAGACTATACAGTTCTCTACCGCATCAGGGTCTTTTCTGAAGTGTTTAGAAATATGTTTGCTACATATTTTGATTAATATTTTGTAGCCCAAATGTGAAGTCTAAGGGACTCCTGAGATTAATCCCTGCAATCTATGTTAGTATTTATATCTAATAGGTGATGGCATAAATAATAATGACACTTAGCTTCCCTGCCCCATGAATGCTCAGAAAAAAAGTCTACTTGCATTCTGCTGCTGAGATTTGGCAGAGCCAAGCTTTTAAATATCATTCGTTGTTAATTCTCTTTGCTATTACTGAGAGAAGGGAAATGCAGCTCTAGGGAATACTGTTTATTGTAAAAGTATGTGGGAGATCACCTTCTATCCCAAAGAGAAGGCTTTGACTTGGCATATAAGAAGAACTAAAGCTATTCAGCTGAAAACCAAAATCTCTATAAATAGCACATCCCAGCTATGAGTGTTTTGCAGGGCATAGCCTCAGGTATTATAAGTTAATATGACTTGACTTTAGGAAACATACAGCACTTAACGTTAATGGAAGAATGTGACTGCAATATTTTAATGGTTGTCAAACATTCTTTTGCAAGTAATAGTAATGTATTTGGATAAGAGAAAATGGAAATGAAAGAATTCTGATGAAAAGGAGAAAAACTGAAAAAAAACCCCATGCCATGACAGAGAATTAAGAGGACTCATAGGATTATTTTTTATCTTGAAAATGCAATCAGAACTAATGTTTGTGCCTCTTTCATGCTTACTTAACTTCTGTGAGAGAGATTAACCTAGAAACTACTTTTTCTATAAAAAAACCAATTTTGATTCTTTCAGGCTCATTACTGTGATTAATTTATCAGAAGGACAACAAATTTAAATTTAGTCTGTGATGACTAACTCCAAAATCAGTGAGATAACTGAGAGGAAAGGAAGAAGAGGTTAAGGGGTTTGCATTTATAAGAATTACAGAAACATGTATTCACACACATGGGAAAAAGTTTCATTAAACACAAGGGGATCCATGTGCATGGAGACTGAAATGTATTTTTGAGAACTGCTAGTGAGGTCTCTAATGTCAGAGAAGAGAGGAAGGTGAATCTCCTGGATTCTGCTCTTAGAAGGGGTAAATTTATTGCATGCAAGATATTTATTATGTAAACATACTATGTATATATGTATGGTTTTATACATATGTGTCTGAATTACCCAAACCTGGCTTAGGGTATTCAGATTAATTTTTTTCTGTACTTGACTCACCTGAAAATGTTTAATAAAATCTATTTATGTGAGTTTTCAGTAGCTCAATTCAGATCTTCTGTGCTTGATGAATAACAGAGGTACAGGAAAATTTGCTCATTATTATATAAAAATACCAATACACAAGTTAATTCAAACTTTTCTGCATTACATCATTTTGATTCCCTCTGATTGCTTAAAAATTTGTGAGGATGGAAATACCTGTTTTTGGCTTAGCCAACCACATTAGTTCTCACTAAAAACAGTAAAGAGTGGAAGAAAACTATAGTATAAAGTTTGCAATGACCAATGTGCTGAAGTTCGTATAAAAATTTTAACTGAACAAGATCATAATAACAGAAGCTGGAGTGCAATCAAACAACAAATCCACGTTGAATTACTACCAACACTTGTGTGCATTAACCTGACTGATAAACCAAAAATTTTCTTAGAACTTTCCTAACTCTATTGTTTCTGTATAAAAAGAAGTTATTGTTGCCATATTTGTGAAAATACAAGGACAAGAAGACAAGACAAGAAAGATCAAGATCCATATTAGTAAAATGGTTCTAATCTTCTCACATCGTTAAAAATAAATACTGCCACCATAGAAGGAGGCTTTCTGATTCCAGTGTAAAATTATCACCTAAATGGAATAACAGATTATATGATACTTTTGAAAATCTATTTCCCGCTTAGAGCAGCTGCTTGTACAGATTTTAAATGTTATGTATGCTGAATAACATAGATCTCTCATTTTGAAACAAAAGTTTGAGATGACTCTTACATGACATGGGATCCGGTGGACTAATGAAGAGAAACTTAATTTACATTAAGACAGAACAGTGTTGGAAAGAAAATTTCAGGAAATGTAAGAAAAAAATAAAACAAATGTCCAATAACCTAATAAACCAAATTACATTCATTTGCTTTTCTCTTCTTACTGGACTTATTTTTATAAAGCTGGTTTGGATACAAACAAACAAGTGTCACTATCTACCTCATAATCCAAGTCCAGGTAATCAAATTCTCCATTCGTTCTGAAATGCTGCATATGTCTGTCCAGGGTGAGATTGATGTTCCTCCCATGGCGCTCTATGATGATGGAGTGCCAGTGGTGATCGTCCAAGAGGCTGCCTGTCATCACAGATGTGTGACCATAAATAGAGCCAAGCTGGTTGCTGCCTAAAATGAGAATAGAAACAATAGCAAGTTTCACCTCATGTCAGTTAGGCAAACATTTTCCTCTTGCTCTGTCAATATTTCACCTGAATCATACCAGTCACACAATAGGCTGGAGCAAGTCTATCTGCTGTAAAGCTAATATCTGCCCAGTGGAGAGCTGCTGCCATAAATACAAATAGCTAGACAAAATATAGCAAGCATCTGATCAGAGAATTGTATAAAGAGTTATTCCTAACAGTCGTTATCTGGAGGCAAACCAGGGAAGCAATACCAACTTTCAGCTGTGAAGCTGTTCTCAACTAGGAGTTTTCTGTGTTTTCATCCCTACACTACAGAAATGAGAAGCTGTCATCTTTGGGCCAAGTTGTGAGCATCCTTGGAACTGTACTGATTTATGATTATTGAAGAAGACATGATGCCTGACAACAGACTTTGGTACAAAAAGCCTTTACAGTCTGAGTTCTACACTTTTTAGGCTCTGCCAGTATAGCTGTACAAGCATAGGAAAAGGCTCAATGCAGACTGAGCTAACAGCAGCAAAAAATATCTTCTGCTAACATAGACTATTTAGTCTTTCCTCCTGCAGCAACCTTCCTGTTATGGAATTCAAACTACTAGCAAGAGAACAGTTTTGCAGTTCTCTACAGTATTTTCCAGGGGCTTTTGCCAGTGCAGCTATGCTAGTCAGAGATGACATCTCATTGCAGTCTGACTGACATAGCTAAGCCAGCAAAGGCTGATAGCATGGATCTCAACTGAAGCAGCAAATGACTAATTCAGC